ACAACAAACCAAAACAATCTGGGGCTAAGCAACAAAAACCAACTTAGTCAACCTAACCCAAAAGAATATGAGAAGCATTGATTAAGGCTTGAATTAGTCAATATTTTGTTGATAATTACTCTTTAATTAGTTATTTTAAATTGTTAATTTGGGTCTTTTCGTTTATTTTCAATGTAGGACAGTAGATTCCAGAAATGTTGCTTAAATTGATGAAATTGTGCATTTTTTTTATTTTTTTGGAGTCATGACTGGACTAGTAGGCATGACGGGTTTGACGCGACGTCTAATCATCAACTTCTAGAAGGTCCAGTCAGTAGCTTGGTGGAAATGGGAGACTCAGCCGCTGATTCAAATTCAAAATTAGGATTTACTTTTAATTTTATGAATTATCTTTTTAGTTTGAATGGTATTTTTAGGGGTTACCCCACCGGGTAAGCCTCATATTATCATTCACTTTTCAAATTCTCTTGTTCTTTCTTTAGTTTATAAGTTTACTTTTTCTTTTATTTTCTTTCTTTTATTTTTCTTTAAAGGTTTCTTTTAAAAAGCGCTAAATTTCATTCATGCTTACCTAAGTTTTTTCATAGCTAATGCTAAAGTGATTACTCAATTTCTGACGTAAGAATTGAAAAGCACACATACACTTTGGGGGGTGGGTGTCGAATTCAACAATTAATAATACTTGCTTTTAGAAATATAAAATTGTAGTAGCGATAAGCAAGGTCGAATCCACAGGGATTGGGTAAACTTATTTTAATGAAAATTAAAGCAAAGAAAAGGGGTTTGAAATTGAGAAAAATCAAAAGAAAAAGCAATTATAATCAACCAAGAATCTAGAGAAATTAATATTAAGCAATATACACTAAGGTAATTTCAGATTGGTTAGAGAATTGATCATAGATGCAAGATAAAATCTTATACCTTTCACTAAACTGGTTATGGTTATTGACAAGTCTAACACCTGTCTCCTTAGTTTCTTGATATCAAGAGAAGCTCTTTGATTATTCCCTTGTTAATGAACCCTAGACAATGATTAAAATTTAATCCACCAACAGATTAACCACCTAGAGAGACCACCAATTCTAGCCAATAAATACACAAGCTCGATTCATTTAGACTAGATTATATACCTTCATAACAAAATAAAAAATCAATTATGTTACTTTACCACTAATATTAGAACATTTAAACAATTACAGATTTAAAGTTCTAAATGGAAATTTATCAACCTGATAATTGAACAACAAGCCCTTTGCACAATCAATCAAGACAATAATTCTTAATAAAAACAGAAGATATATAAATAGCGAAGAAGTAAAAGAACAATGAAAATTATTTAAATCTCACAATCCTTGAATAACCAAAACTTCAATTATCCTTCAGTTGGAACAAAAGTATTTAGCCACTCATAATTGAAATAACACCAAAAGAAAATAAAGATTTCCCTATTCTAGATAAGGAAGTTTCCCTAAAGAAAATCCCACAAAAATGGGGATTTTAAATACCCTCATCCTTTTCTAACGATAATAATGATTCAAAAGAGTCTTCCAACTGTCATTAAACTCTTTTTCCTTTGTAAATTCATAACCCTAATTTAGGGTTATACGGACTAGTAAGGCGTGCTCACGCCTTAATTGAAGACTTCTTCTGCGATAGCTCATGATAAATAAGTTGTGCCCACGCCTTATGCGAAAACCTCTTCTTGTCTTGCCAACTTCTTGAATTCTGATTTTTCCTTCTTAATTTAGGGATCTCGTGAAGATCATTCTATTCATTGGATTTTGATCTTGCTTAATCCAAATCTTCAACCTAATCCACAAAATACAAAATATAATCAAAATCCATGATTTAAGCAATTTTAGTTATTCAGATATGAGGAAAATATCATAGAATATATGGCTAATATGCATCTTATCAAATTCCCCCACACTTAAACCAATGTTTGTCCTCAAGCATACAATAGTTCAAATTAATAACTCTTCTCGACATCAATCCTTATTCTTCCTTTGCTCATCCTTCCACAATCAAAATTGTCATGCCTTAAAGACTCTAATCTAGACACAAGTAAGGAACGATCAATTCGTAGAAGAAATTCTCATAAACCAACACACATGAATAATCACTCCATTAATCTTTCCGAAATCAAAATGCAGTGGGATCTAATACCCTCACATTGGATTCACTCAATACACTCGAAGTGTTTAGGGTGTCAATAAACTCTCAAGCCAAAACATAGAAAGCTTTTTACCATAATATTGCTAACCTATCACATCCCCACCACTAATCAATGAATTGAATGCATAAAAACCTCATGGTCTTAAACAGGGTGTAATGGGGCTTAGGTGAGGTTGGGTAGGAAATGAATTTGAGTTGTTTTATCAAATGATTCATACAAACTTATCCACATGGAACTCAATCTCAAATGTTCTCTTCAAGCCACATAAATTTTTTCATTGCATAATCTCTCTTTCTTCCTTTCCTTTGCACAATTTTACTTTTTTTTCTTTTTCTTTTTTTTTTCTTTTGTTTTTTTCAATGAAAGAGATTGAAAATCGAATCACTATATTCCAACATCTTCCGATCTTCTCAAGATAATTTGAATTCTCATGTGAAGTAGCTCATACAATCCTCCAATTCAAGGTTCAAAAGAAGGGAAATTAGCAAAAAGATTTGATATTTTCTTGTACCATGGTTAATTTAAAAAAAAAGTTCATGCTCAAAATTGGTTTTCTAAGGATGAGAATTAGGGTAGGCTATTTACGAAAGCTAAAATGGTTTCACCTAAATGCCCTTATCGTTCTTGATGCATCTAATTCTAAAATGTGGTCTTCGACATGTATAGTAAAGCAAGTTCTAGAAAAATTAACTATATATGGAAATCACTCAATCAAGAAATGGAGCATGTTGAAAATGAGTGCTCATTGTCCCAAAAACTCGCATAAAGGGTAAACATGTATCAAATCCCATACATTTTTCATTCAATCATTCATCAAGAGTAATCAACCAGTGTGTAGCAAATAAGAATTCAACTACTCAAGCTAATCCCCTATTATGCTTCAACTTAATTCGATAATTCAAAACAATCCAAATCATGTAAGGACAAACATCGAAAGAATCTGGAATTTCAAAGAGAAAAATCACAAACAATAACTAAAGCATACTTGTTTTTTTTTCTTTAAAAATTGAAGAAAAATTATGTTCAAAGCAAAACCATATATAAAATATTATCCCCCACACTTAATTCATACATTGTCCTCAATTTATCAAAAGTAGAAGCTCAAAAACCTTAAAAGAATAATAGTAGAAAACTCCCCTAAAAATGTTCAACATCAACCACAATATTTATAACGAGCTGGGGGTGAAGGTGTTGTGCGTCGGCTGGGTTGGTTATCAGAATGAGTGGAGACGTGGGTCGGGTGGAGCAGTGAGGACGACTGGTGGCGCACATTCTTTTGAAGGAGCAGAGAAAATAGAGAAAAGATAGGGCATATTTATATTTTAAAAAATTTCTTTGAATCTTGCTTCCTAAACCAGAAGTGGTGTTGAGTTTAGACGTGGGCACGTTTTATACAAAAACATCTTCTGGATGGTGAGAGACTTTATAAACAATTCCACTTTTGTAAGGCGTGCCCAGCGTTACAAAAAATCATCTTCTAACCTAAAGAAGAAAACAAGATTAATTGTACTTTAAAAAATCAAGAATAAAAATAAAATAAAAACAAAATAAAAATAAAAAGAACGAAAATGGAAATTTAAAAGGAAAAATTGGGTTACCTCCCAAGAGCGCATTTCTTTAACGTCTTTGGCTAGACGTTGTAGCTTCTCAATCATCCTAAGTTAGGTACTCCAAAATGGTTTGACTAACAGTATGCATCTGAGAACCTTCATAAAAAGGTTTCAAACGATAATCATTGACCTTAAATATTTGACCTGTATCCAAACTTTTTATTTCAACAATAGAGAAATTTTTCCTCCACCCAATAGCTTCCTTGTACTCTATAAGTATTTGAATCAAATTTTCGTCTTCTAATCAAGAGAGTTTGTTGGAAATGATCACCAGAAGAGTTTCCTCTTCTCCTAAATATACATGCTTCAGGTGATTTGGCAAAGGCTTCGTTTCCAATTTTGGTGCATGCACAAGAGAAAGAAGAAGTTTGGCGTGAGAAAGAGGTAACTCAATATAAGATACATTATGCCTCATGGTTTTGAATGGTTCTAGTTCTTGTATTGCATCTTGCAAACCATGATCCAACACAAACTTTTTCATGATTCCATGCAATCCTTCAAAAGTGAAATTCATGTTGAGTGCAACTTTCAACTTGTCATCATCATTTTGATAAAAAGTTTCACGTGCTAGAGGATCAATAACATCCATGACAAAAACAGAGGACACATCACTAGGATATTTTATGGTGTCATAAATATTGAATTTAATAATTTCACCATCAAATTCCATAGTAAGTGTACCATCATTTACATCAATTTTTGTCCTAGTTGTTTTCAAAAATGACATTCCTAACAAAATTGATGTTGATTTAAAAGAGTCATCTTCTTGCATATCAAGCACATAAAAATCTGCAGGAAATACCAATTCATTAACTTGCACCAAAACATCCTGTAAAACTCCCTCATGATATACATTAGATCTATCAGCAAGTTGAATAATCACTCCTGTTTCTTTCAAAGAACCAATATTCAGAGATGAGTAAATAGAAAGAGGCATGATATTTATTGAGGATCCTAGATCTAACATTGCTCTCTCAATCCTAAGATTATCGAATTTACAAGGGATAGTAAACATACCTGGATCTTTGCACTTGGGGGGTAGTTTTTTTCTAGAGGACACCTGAAACATTCTCCCCCATACTTACCTTTTCATTACCTTTGAGCTTTCTCTTGTTGGTGCACAATTCCTTAAGAAATTTAGCATATCGAGGTACTTGTTTAATTGCATCAAGTAAAGGAATATTTACCTCGATCTTGTAAAATGTCTCAAGAATTTATTTCTTTTCTGCTTCTTTCTTGGACTTAGCGAATCTAGCGGGAAAATGAGGATTTACGACCAATTCCTTCGGTTGTTCGCTTTTGAGTCCTTTGGGTTGGTCTATCTGAGTCTGGGGAGCAACAACTTCCTTTTTGGTTTCTTCCTCTAAGGCTCTCCCATGTGCCAATGGACTAGGTTCCTTCAACTCATTCCCACTTCTCAATGTGATTGCACTAACATTTTGCTTTGGATTAACAATGGTTTGTGAAGGTAACTTACTTTGGGATTCTAACCAACTCACGGAGGATGTCAATTGACTCATTTGATTCTCCAAATTTTGTATGATTATTCTTGTCTCTTGCTGAAATTTTTGTGTATTAGTTGCAAGTGATTTGACAATTTCTTTTAGGGACATACATGGCTTTGAAGAAGACTGCTCAGGTGGAAAACGCTGGAATTGCGATGGTCTTGGTCCATAGCTAAGGTTAGGATAATCCCTCCATCCTGGATTATAGGTATTTAAGTAAGGATCATACTTCCTTTGTGGTGGATCGAGAAACCTTCCAACTGCATTGGCGTACTCATGAGAATCATCTTGAAATGTAGGGCACATGTTAGTTGGGTGACCAATCGCAGCACATATCCCACAAGCTTTCACTTGCTGCGTGTTTCCTACAACTAGTTGTTGAACGAGGGAGGTGAGATACGATAATTGATGTTCAATGGAGGACAAACCTACCTTATTCACCATTCTTGAAGATGTGTCTTGCCTAAAGCCAAATTGTTGTGAATTAGTGGCCATGATGGAGTTCAATTTCTTAGCATTGTGAGGAGTCTTATTCACTATGGCACTTCCACTAGTTATATCCATCATCTTCCTCTCCATGGGTAGAAGTCCCTCATAGAAATATTTGGATGAGAAGTTGCTCAGAAATCCCATGTTGAGGGCAGCTGGCACACAGTCGTTTGAATCATTCCCAATACTCGTGAAGGGTCTCAATATCTTTTTGTTTTATTTCACATATCTCCCTCCGAATGCCAGCGACTCTTGAAGCAGGGAAAAATTTATCAAGAAACATCCTCACCATCTCGACCTGAGTAGTTACAGAACCAGGGGGTAAATAGAAGAGCCAATCTTTAGCTCTATCGGTTAGCAAGAATGGAAAAGCACATAATTTGATCTGCTCTTCAGTCACTCCTTGTGGTCTCATACTTGAACATACCACATGGAATTCCTTCAAATGCTTATGAGGGTCTTCATTCTCAAGTCCATGGAAAGTAGGCAACAAATGAATCAAACCAGATTTTAGTTCAAAATCAACCTCCAAGGCTGCGTAGTCAATGCAGAGCGGTTGTTGATTCATATTTGTTGCATCCAATTTTCTTAGAGTTGTTTCTTCATTGGCCATTGTTCCTTCTATTTTAGAATAGCATGATGAATCAACCAAGTTGAGTGTAGATTCTGATTCAGGGGAAGAAAAAGAAGAAGCTTGTCTATTACGCAATTTAGTTTATTTTCTTAACATGCGAGTGGTCTTCTCAATTTCAGGATCGTATTGAATTTCACCTGCATGAGAAGAATGAGGCATCAAAATACGTCTAAATGACACCAATCCCCATCAACGGCGCCAAAAATTTGGTGGGTGTCGAATCCAACAAAATAATAATACTTGCTTTTAGAAATATAAAATTGTAGTAGCGATAAGCAATGTCGAATCCATAGGGATTGGGTATACTTATTTTAATGAAAATTAAAGCAAAGAAAAGGGGTTTTGAAATTGAGAAAAATCAAAAGAAAAAGTAATTATAGTCAACCAAGAATTTAGAGAAATTAATATTAAGCAAATACCCAACTAAAGGTAATTTCAGAATTGGTTCAGAGAATTGATCATAGATGCAATGATAAAATCTTCTACCTTTCACTAAATTGGTTATGGTTATTGACAAGTCTAACAACCTGTCTCTCCTTAGTTTCTTGATAATCAAGAGAAGCGCTTTGATTATTTCCCTTGTTAATGAACAACCCTAGACAAGCGCTTAAGATTTAATCCACCAACAACATTAACCACTAGAGAGACCACCAATTCTAGCCAATAAATACACAAGCTCGATTCATTTAGACTAGATTATATACCTTCATAACATAATCAAAAATCAACTATGTTACTTTACCACTAATATTAGAACGTTTAAACAATTACAGATTTAAAGTTCTAAATGACAATTTATCAACCTGATAATTGAACAACGGGCCTTTTGCACAATCAATCAAGACAATAATTCTTAATAAAAACAGAAGATATATAAATAGAGAAGAAGTAAAAGAACAATGAAAATTATTTAGATCTCACAATCCTTGAAGAACCAAAACTTCAATTATCCTTCAGTTGGAACAAAAGTATTTAGTCACTTATAATTGAAAGAACACCAAAAGAAAATAAAGATGAAGTCTGAAAATAATCTTAGAGAAAAACTTAAACTTAAAGAAAATTTAATTCCCCTATGAAAACCTTAGCTCCCCTTTTATAAGGATTTCCCTATTCTAGATAAGGAAGTTTCCCCAAAGAAAATCCCACAAAAATAAGGGTTTTAAATACCCTCATCCTTTTATAACGATAAGAATTATTCAAACGAGTCTTCCAACCATTATTAAACTCTTTTTCTTTTGTAAATTCATAACCCTAATTTAGGATTATACGGACTAGTAAGGTGTGCACACGCTTTAACTGAAGACTTCTTCTGTGATAGCTCAGGATGAATAAGTCATGCCCACGCCTTATTCGAAAACCTCTTCTGGTCTTGCCAACTTCTTGAATTCCAATATTTCCTCCTTAATTTGGGGATCTCGTGAAGATCACGCTATTCATTGGATTTTGAACTTGTTTAATCCAAATCTTCAACCTAATCCACAAAATACGAAATATAATCAAAATCCATAATTTAAGCAATTTTAGTTATTCAGATATGAGGAAAATATCGTAGAATATATAGCTAATATGCATCTTATCATTGGGTTACTTTTTCAGTTTTCTGGAATTAAGGATTGGCAATCAACCATCATTTTTTAAATCAAAAGCCTTTTTCTTTCAAAAAGTACGCATCAGATTGATTACGATTTTGATTAACGGTTGGGAGGAAGGATCGGCTTGTAGCATATTTGACTTCCTATGAACACACTTAGAGATGATTAACAAAGGGAAACTGAAATCGGGTTTAATTCTGTTCGAGATGCTATAATCTGAGTCGGGTTTTTCCAAAACTAAAACAGAGTTAGAATTAACAAGCGATTGTCGCGGTTAGTCAACATAAGGACTGAGAACTGAAAATCAATTTTGGATGATTGGCTCAATTGAGAGACAAATAAGTTATAGGGTTGGGCCCTGTAGACTGTAACTGACATGAACCCAGAGCTAAAATCATATTCAAGGATCGATTAGAATTGAGGAGAAGCTTAAGCCTAAGGTTGATTTAATTATATTGAAATTTTCTCATCTTTTATTTTCTTTAATTGCTTTCTTTTATTACTTAGATTACAATCTTTATTTACTTTCTTTTATCTCTCAACAAATACCTCCCTATTTCTTTATTTTTATTTGCAATTCACGTCAAGATCAAGAATCAAGAACCAATTTTCGACAACTTTCTTAGTCCCTGCGGATAGACCCTTACTCTCTCTATTCTAATCTATTTTATATTTTTGAGATTAATGATATATTTATTTTGAAAATTAAAACTATGCATGTCAAAATTGATGCCATTACTAGGGACTATGGCAAATTACTGATTAATTTATTTTTTATTTATGCCCAGACGAAACCCGACACATTAGAAGAATTTGATCTAAAAATTGAAACGCGAGCCAAACGAACTCACGGTCAAATGCTTCAAGAGAAACAAAAGAAATGACAAGATCAAGCAAATTTTGAAGACACGATTGACATCACATACTAGGAATCAACGGATTCAATACAAAATCCAGCAATAGTTGAATCAACTTCCATGCCCATCGTTGATCCAACGCACGACATACAACTTCCAGTACAAACTAAACCAAAATAATTGGGGGCTAAACAACAAAAGCCAGCTTAGTCAACCTAACCCAAAAGAATATGAGAAGCACAAATTACACTACAATGCCCAAGCATTACAAAGAACATCGTTAAGGCCCGCGCTGTATTTGTATTTCATTAAACCTTAGCCGAACAATGCCTCTGATCTCAAAGATCACTCCAGCAACATTCTTTCTCCCTCGCCCATAAACCCCTATTATTCCTGTCCCGTCAAATACGATAGATAAAGGCACTCCATGCTATCTTTAGGAGAATAGAAATGATCAGCCTTATCTCTTAACAAGGACAAATATACATGGTGCACGGAAGGTGTTGTTGCCCCTCTGACGCCAGACAGAATAGTGATTATCCTGCAAGCACTCCAACAAATGATTCTCAAGAGAAAATTTGTCCAAAAAACCAGAGAAAAAAAAGTCTCTAGGGTTTAATAAAATATTATAAATTCAAAACCATCAAAATCAGTCCACAAGCCGGACTGTTATAGCCAAAAATCATCTTTATTCGAATTTTGCCAAAAATATCAAAATCCCGAAAATCACTCTAAATTGAAATTTGAAATAAAATAAGCAATCTCCAAAAAATCGGGCCTAAATCGGATTTAAATTGACTTCCTAATTGATAATCGAAATATTACCATAAATAGTAAAAAAATATCTAAATCTAGTGATTCGGAGGGGAAAACGGTAGAATTTGAGGTTGAAAAAAAGGCCACATGGAGCGTGGCTCATGTGGAGAGCGTGTGCGTCGAAAAGAGCTTTTCGGATTGGGGTCTTATGCGCGATTCTGACACCTGTAGCCAAAGTTATGGCCAAAAGACTGAAATATACTCAAAACGACCCCAATGAGGAACATGTCACAATCAATTCCCGCCTTTGCGCTGATCTGCCAATTCATGCTATCTCAGCGCTATCTAGGTACAATCTGACAGCTCAGCATCATCTGTTTCGGATCCCCCTGCATCAGTCACCCCGGGTTGGAAAGAACTCGTCCTCGAGTTCAGAGTAGTGTCATCAGAATCCACAAAACAATGACTCAGGTGTTTCACATTAAAGACATCAGAAGTCTTCAAGTGGCTGGGAAGGCGCAACCTGTAAGCATTATCATTGATCTTCTGCAGGAACTCACAAGGTCCAATCTTCCGATCCTTAAGCTTATTATACTCACCAACAGGAAAACGATCACGAGTTAATACAACCCAAACAAAATCACCAACATCAAAAAGTACCTGATGACGATGATTGTTGACCCGAGTCTTGTACTTGGTATTGCTCTCATGAATGGTTTGTTTCACCTGCTCATGGATACCCCGAAGATACTTTTCCATCTCATCTGCTTTAGGACTGAAATGACCTATACGTGGACTAAGGGCTAAGTCCAACACCCCGGATGGGTTCTGACCATAGACAATCTCAAATGGGCTTAAACCTGTGGTTCTGTTTTTTGATCTGTTATAGGAAAATTCTGCCTGAGGCAATGCCAAATCCTACTGCTTCGGCTTTGTTTCTGCCAAACACCTCAAGAGGTTTCCCAAACTTTGGTTCACCACCTCGGTCTGGCCATCAGTCTGGGGGTGGTAGGCGCTACTGAAATTCAACTGTGTTCCCAATTTCCCCCACAGGCTCTTCCAGAAATGACTGATGAACTTAGTATCATGATCTGAAGTGATGGATCAAGGAACTGTGTTCCCAATTAAAAAAGACACGAGGCATCGCCTATCAACTGTTACCTCACTGCCTTTATTTAGCCATGACAGCTTGTATGGCTTAGGATGGCGGTCCGTCTTCAACTGTAATTTCTGGACAACCTCCTCGGACACTACATTCTCACAACTGCCGCTGTCAGTGATCATTTTGCAAACTTTATCTGCAAC